TCATCATCATCATCATCATCATCATCGTCATCATCATCATCATCATCATCATCATCATCATCATCATCATCATCATCATCATCATCATCATCATCATCGTCGTCATCATCAGCAGCAGCATCATCATCATCAGCATCAGCAGCAGCAGCAGCAGCACCAGCATCATCGTCATCATCATCATCATCATCATCAGCAGCATCAGCATCAGCATCTTCATTAGCATCAGCATCAGCATCATCGTGACCCGTACCCCCCTGAGTGAGGAACCACTATTGGTCCTGTGTTGATCCTCATCCTCCTCCTCATCCTCCCCATCACCATCACCACCACCACCACCACCACCATCATCATCATCATCAGCAGCAGCAGCAGCAGCAGCATCAGAATCAGCATCAGCATCAGCATTGTCACCATCACCATCACCACCATCATCAACATCATCATCATCATCATCATCACCATCATCATCATCATCATCATCATCATCAACATCAACATCAACATCAACATCATCATCATCATCAACATCATCATCATCATGATCATCTCATCATCATCATCATCACCAGCATCATCACCACCAACATCATCAGCATCATCGTAGTCATCACCGTCATCATCAGCATCATCATCAGCAGCATCAGCATCAGCATCAGCATCAATATCATCATCACCATCATCAGCATCAGAATCAGCATCAGCATCTTAGGCATCAGCACCAGCAGCATCAGCACCATCAACAGCATCAGCATCACCATCATCAGGAGCAGCATCAGCATCATCATCATCATGATCATCAGCAGCAGCAGCATCATCATCATCATCATCATCATGAACATCATCATCATCATCATCATCATCATCATCATCATCATCAACATCATCATCAACATCATCTTAACCATCATCAGCATCATCATCAGCATCATCAGCATCACAATCATAAGCATCATCATCAGCATCAGCATCAGTATCAGCAGCAGCATCAGCATAATCATCAGCATCATCATCATCAGCAGTATCAGCACCATCATCATCATCATCATCAGCATCATCATCGTCGTCATCATCATGATCACAATCAACATCTGCATCAGCATCGTTCGCATCATCATCATCAGCGTCATCATCATCTCATCATCATCATCAGCAGCAGCATCATCGTCATCAATATCAACATCAACATCATCATCACCAGCATCGTCATGAATATCAACATGAACATCAAGATAATCATCATCATCATCCACAGCAAGATCATCATCGCCACCAGCACTAGCATCACCATCAGCATCAGCATCATCATCATCATAATCATCATCACGATCAGCATCATCATCAGCATTAGCATCATCATCATCATCACAACAACAACATCAACATCAGCATCACCATCATCATCACCAGCAACATCATCATCGCCACCAACATCATCATCATCCTCAGCATCATCGTAATGAGAATCGTCATCGTCATTATCAACACCACCATCATCATCGTCATCAGCATCGGCGTCGTCGCCATCCCCACAACAACCGCACCACCACCACCACTACTACCGTCATCATCATCATCAGCATCATCATGATCAGCAACAGCAACATCAGCAGCAGCATCAGCATCATCATCATCATCATCAGCATCGGCATCAGCATCCTCATCGTCATCATCATCATCATCATCATCATCATCATCATCATTACAATCAGCATCATCATCATCAACATCAAAATCATCATCAGGGGGGGGACCGCGAGTTGGCGGCTACACCCCCCCTGGGAGAGCGGTATCATCATCCTCGCCATCATCACCATCATCATCATCATCATCATCATCGTCGTCATCATCATCATCATCATCATCATCATCATCATCATCATCATTCCAATCAGCATCATCATCATCAGCATCATCAACATCATCATCATTAGCATCAACATCATAATCAGCATCGCCCCTTCTCATCCTTTTCGTGTTGCTCCTCCTCCTCCTTCTCCTCCTCTTCATCCTCCTCTTCATCCTCCTCTTCATCCTCCTCTTCCACCTCCTCCTCCTCCTCCTCCTCCTCCTCCTCCCCATCACCATCATCATCATCATCATCAGCATCATCATCACCAGCGTCATCCTCATCCTCAGCATCATCATCAACATCATCATAACCTCATCATAACCTCATCATCTCATCATCAGCATCATCATCATCATCAACAGCGTCATCAGCATCAGCATCATCATATTTAATCATCACAAGCAGCATCATCATCATCAACATCAACATCATCAGCGTGAGCATCAGCATCATCACCATCAGGGTCATCACTATCAGCAGCATCATCAGCATTGGCATCAGCATCAGCATCATCATCATCATCAGCATCATCATCACCATCACAAGCAAACTCAGCATCGCAACCCGCATCATCATAATGAGGAGCAGCAGCAGCAGCATCATCATCATCATCAGTACAACCATCCCCAACACCATCAGCATCATCATCACATTCATAAAAAACATCATCAGCATCAGCAGCATCAGAATCATCAAAATCATCAGCATCAGCATCAGCATCAGCATCAGCATCAGCATCATCAGCATCATCAACATCAGCAACCGCATCATCATCATCATCATCATCATCATCAGCATCAACATAGTTAGCATCAGCATCAGCAGCAGCATTAGCATCATCATCATCAGCATCAGCATCAGCAGCATCACCATCACCAGCAAAGCATCATCACCACCAGCATGATCATCATCAGCATCATCATCACCATTATCGTCATCAGCATCATCATCACCATCATCATCAGCATCATCAGTATCAGCATCATCGTCATCATCATCATCATCATCACCATCATGATCGTCATCATCAGCATCGCCGTCGCCATCACCACAACCACCGCCAACCACCACCACAACTATCAGCATCAGCATCATCAGCAGCACTAGCATCACCATCGGCATCAGCATCATCAGCAGCATCAGCATCAGCATCATCATCATCAGCAGCATCAGCATCAGCATCAGCATCATGAGCATCATCATCAGCAGCATCATGAGCATCATCATCAGGAGCATCAGCATCAGCAGCATCAGCATCAGCATCAGCATCAGCATCAGCACAATCATCATCATCATCATCATCATCATCATCATCATCAGCATCCTCAGCATCATGATTATCATCATTATCAACACCACCATCATCATCGTCATCAGCATCGGCGTCGTCAGCATCATCAGCATCAGCATCAGCATCATCATCAGCATCAACATAATCATCGGCATCAGCATCAGCATCAGCATCATCATCATCAGCATCTCATCATCATCATCATGATCAGCATCGTAATTATCATCATCATCATCATATCAATCATCATAACAACAATCATAAGAACCATCATCAGCATCTGCAGCGTCATCATCATCAAAATCATCAGCAGCAGCATCAGCATCAGCATCGTCATGATAATCATCATCGTCATTAAAATCAGCAGCAGCATCTTCATCACGATCAGCATCATCATCGTTAGCGTCAGCATCAGCATCAGCATCAGCATCATCGTCAGCATCAGCATCAGCATCAGCATCGTCACCAGCAAAGTATCATCACCACCAGCATCATGATGATCATCATCAGCAGCAGCATCATCATCATCGGCAGCGTCATCGCCCTCATCATCATCATCATCATCATCATCATCATCATCAGCATCATCAGCATCATCATCATCATCAGCATCATCAGCATCGTCGTCGTCGTCGTCAGCACCACAACCAGCACCAACCACCAGCACCACTATCATCATCAGCATCATGAGCAGCAGCATCATCATCAGCATCATCAGCATCAGCATCAGCATCAGCATCATCAGCAGCATCAGCATCAGCATCAGCATCATGAGCATCGTCATCATCATCAGCATCATCAGCGTCATCATCATCCTCATCATCATCATCATCATCATCATCATCAGCATCAGCAACATCAGCATCACCATCATCATCAGCATCATCATCAGCATCATCAGCGTGAGCATCAGCATCGTCCTCATCATCAGCATCATCATCATCATCAGCATCATCATCATTGGTATCATCATCATAATGAGCATCATCATCATCAACATCATCATTATCAGCATCACCATGATCATCATCATCAGCATCATCATCAGCATCATCATCAGTATCAGCAGCATCATCAGCATCAGCAGCATCATCATCAGCATCAGCATCAGCACCAGCAAAATTATCATCGCCACCAGCATCATCAGCATCGTCATCCTTATCAGCATCATCGTCATCATCATCATCAGCATCATCATAACCATCATCATCATCAGCAGCAGCAGCATCATCACAATCATAAGCATCATCATCAGCATCAGCAGCATCATCATCATAATCATCAGCAGCAGCATCAGCATCACCATCATCATCATCATCATCATCATCATCATAATCATCATCACAATCAGCATCAGCATCATTAGCATCAGCATCAGCAGCATCATCAGCATCAGCATCAGCAGCATCATCACCAGCAAAATATCATCACCAGCATCATCATCATCAGCAGCAGCATCATCATTATCGTCATCATCATCATCACCAGCCTCATCATCATCAGCATCGTCGTCGTCATCACCACAACTACCACCAACCATCACCACCACCACCACCACTATTATCATCACCAGCATCATCATCAGCATCATCATCAGCATCAGCATCAGCATCATCGTCATCAGCAGCATCAGCATCAGCATCAGCATCAGCATCAGCATCAGCATCAGCATCATCATCATCATCATCAGCAGCAATATCAGCAACATCAGCATCACCATCATCAGCACCACCCCGTCTCCTCCTTCTCCGGCTCCTCCTCTTCCTGTTCCTCCTCCTCCTACTACTGCCTGCGCCTCCTCCTACAACGGACGACGGACGGCGGACGGCGACGGCGACAACCGTCGGCGTCGACGGCGGCGCCTCCTGCCGCGACCCCAGGGACGCCTCGAGCGAGTAGCGGAGGCCCCCAGCGAGCAGGACGCCCCCGCTGACCAGCGAGTCGCAGGAGACGCTCCTCGACGTCGTCGTCGCCCTCCCTCCCTCCCTCGATCCGCGAACCTCGAAGATCGAAAGTGTTTTCCCCGATCTGCGTCATCCTCGTCGTCGTCGTCCGAGTCGCCGTCATTATTTGGGGGGCCTCCAGGGGGCTTCTCGCCGCAGCGGCGGGGGGAGTGAGGGAGGGAGGGAACGATGGAGGAAGGGAGAACGAGGAGGACGTGCGGGCTGGGGGGAGCAAAAAGATACCGAGAACCAAATCGAACCGCCGATCCCCCAGGCGCCTCTGACCAGGACTCTACGGCGCGCCTCTGACCAGGACTCTACGGCGACTCTAGCCGCGGCCACGGGGGACCCCCAGGGAAGCCCAAAGAGTCCAAGACCATGGAAGGGCCTCGGTGTCGATATGCCTCCCTGTGGCGACGCGCAGAGGAGGGGGGCAGGGGGAGGGGGCCAGGCTTATTAGAAGGAGGCTGCCCTTCAGAGGGCGGCAGCCCTACAATCTACAGACCAGGCCCGCGACTTCTCAGAAGTCGGGGCGCTTCTACGAAGCCTTCCCCCTCCCCCCAGATCCATCTCGGCGCGTGGCCGATCTCTCCTCTGACGGCCACCCCCCAGTCTCCGCGTCCTGCTCCTTCTCCTCCCTCCCCTCCCCTCCCTCTCCTCCCTCCCTCACTCCCGCCTTCCCTCGTTCCCTCCCTCCTTCCCTCCCCTGCGCCCCACTCCAGGCTGATCCCTGCCGCTGCGACGAGAAGCCAACTGGTAGCCTCCGCCCACCCCCGCCTGTCCTCGCGGCCGCGCTCCTCCCGAGCCCCCTCCGCGCGGCCCGCCGGCTGAGCTTCAGCCGCGCCGCGGAGGCCGCGGGGGGAGCCGCGCTCGGCTCCACCCCTGGGCCCGGGCTGCTCGACCTCGGGGGCGCCGGGGGAGCGAGGAAGGCGCGCCCTCCCTCCCCCCGTCGGCGACTCGAAGATGGGGCCTTGAAGGATGGGGACCTGAGGACGCTGAGGACCCTGAACAGCGGGACGAAAAACAACCAAATGGGACGGAGTCCAACGATTTCGGTCCCAATCACAGCCAAGTGGGACCAAGCACAACCACTTTTGAAACATTGAAGTGGTATTGGAAGGTTTCTTCGATATTCAAAAATGAAGCTCCATAGAGGCTCCGCAGGGGGGTCCTTAGAGGCTCCTTAGCCGTTGCGGTATCCTTAGAGGTTCCTTCGAGGTTCCTGATGCAAGCTCCTTAGAGGCTCCTGAGAGGTTTCCTAAGAGGCTCCTCGGAGGCTCCTTAGAAGATTCCTCTGAGGCTCCTTAGAGGGGCCTCAGAGGTTTCCTTAAAAACTCCTTAGGGCTCCTTACAAGTTTCCTTGGAGGTTCCTTAGAGGCTCCTCCAAGGTTTCCGTACAAGCTCTCTAGAGACTCCTTAGAAGTTTCCTGAGAGGTTCCTTAAAGGTTTCCGAATCGTTCGGCCCCCGCCTTTTTTCCTGTTGGCTCGGGAGTTCCCCTGGTTCCCAGGGCGACGACTCCAATGAAGAGCGCGGCCGAACGAGTCGCCTTGCCCCAACCGCCGCCACCGCCGCCGCCGCCGAGTCGGTCGGTCCTTTTTTTCTCGAGGGCGCGGGATCCCCAAACCCCCATGGGCGACGTTTTCCATGGACGCGTTTTGCGCCTTCGGAGGTCCGGGGACTTCCGAACCCATGGGTAGGACAGCGTGGCCGAACTATTCAGTTTGCCCTGAGCCGCCGCCGCCGCCGAGCCGCCCGGCCCCCGATTCTTCCCCCGCGGGCGCGGGGTTCCCCGGGCTCCGAGAGCGACGTTTCCAAAGAAGCGCCTCGCGCCTTCGGAACCCCGGTAAACCCCCGAACCCACGGGGAGGGAGAGGGGGGGGGGGGGGCAAACGGTCACTTGGCCCAGCACCGCCGCCGCCGAATCGTTCGGTCACCGTTTCCTTTCTTGCGGGCGCGGGATATCCCAAACACCCGAGGGCGACTCTTCCGGCGGAAGCGTTTCGCGCCTTCGGGGGTTCGGGGGGACTGAGCCCACGGGAGGGAGACGGCGGCCGACCGACTCGCCCTACCCCGCGCCGCCGCCGCCGAGTCGTTCGGCCCCCGCCCCCTTTCCTTGACGGCGCGGGATCCCCCAGGTCCCCGCGGGCGACGCTTCCAATGGAAGCGTTACGTGCCCTCAAGGGTTTTGGGAGGCCCCGAACCCGTGGGCGGGGAGAGCGTGGCCGAACAATTCACTTTGCCCTCTGCCGCCGCCGCCGAGTCGTTCGGCCCCCGCCCCCTTCTCTTGCGGGCGCGGGAGTCCCCCTGGCTCCGAAGGCGACGCTTCCGATGTAAGCGTTTCGTGCCCTCGGGGGTCCCGGGGGGCCCCGGAACCCACGGGGAGGGAGAGCGCGGCCAAGCGAGTCGCCCTGCCCCCCGCCGCCGCCGCCGAGTCGTTATTTCAGCAATAATCGACCCTGCTGGGCTCTGCTCAGCTAGAGGCTGTCGGGAGGCATCCTCGGCCATGCTTAGCAATCTCGATCGATTTTGAAGCTGCTTTGGGGCACGCTAGACCTCCTGGGACCAGCTTGGGGGCAGGAAGAAAAGGAGGAGGAAGAGGAGGAGGAGGAGGAGGAGGAGGAGGAGGGGGGCGGAGGAGGAGGAGAAAGAGGAAAAGAAGGGGGCGGAGGGAGAGGAAAAGGAGGAGGAGGCGGACAAGGAGGAAAAGGAAGAGGAGGAAGAGGAGGAGGAGGAGGAGGAGGAGGAAGAGAGAAGCAGGAGGAAGAGGAGGAGGAGGAAGACGAGGAATGTGACGCAAGGGAGATAGAGGTGGTGGTATCGCAACATGGAGCAAGCTCCCCCGCACAGAGGCGAGACAGCGCCACACATCGGGGACGCCGTCGCCGGGGGCGCGCGCGATGGCCGCTCCAAGACCCGCACCGCGATCCCGATTTAAGGCGCCAGCCTTGCAGCACCCGCAGAGCAGCCAGAGAACAGCGGCAGCCACCGCTGCAGCTTCTCCCGAATCGCACGCGACGCTGAGGCTGCTACCGGCAGCGAAACATGCAAAACCATGCCAAACTGGCCGCCACCGCGGCCTGGCACCGCCACCGCCCCACTGGCTCGGAGACCCCACGGTCGGGGCCGACGCCGGCGCAGCCCAGCCAGGCCGGCGGAGGCGGAGCCCAGGAGCGGCGCTGGCTGACGGGAGCCGCGGCACCCCCGAGCAGCACTGCCTTCAGGTAAACCGCCTGCTCCTGGCTGAGGCCCGCCTCCTCTAGCAGCTCCTGAACCAGAACCACCCTGGCGACATGCACCTCCTCCCAGCCTACTCCCTGCTCCTCCGAGCGAAAGTCCACCGCTACGACTCCAGTAGGGTCAGGGCCCCTCTCGTCCTGACCCTTCTTGCTATTATTATTACTCTTATCATTATGATCTTTCCTGGCTGTCACGGAACTCTAAGGCTGCACCTCTGTTTCCTGGTCTTGGTCTTGGCTACCTGCTCCGCGGCGCCTGCCCCGTGGCTGAGCGTGACGGCCTCCTTCAGGTTGGTGGCCACCGCCTTGGGCGCAGGCGCCACCAGGCTCCCCAACTTCGTCGCGATGCCCAGCACCCGCGCCACCCCCCGCGACAGCGGAGGCGGGGCCTCCGCCTTCTCCGCCTTGCACTCGGAGAGCTCGCGGTCCGTGGCTTCGAAGACGCTCTCCTGCTCCGTCGCCTCCTGACGTATATTGGCCGTCACGCTGAGCCGATCCCACAGCTTCAGCCTCCGCGCCTCCGACGGCGGGGCCTCCGCGCACGCCCCCTCCTTCTGGCTCTCGAGCGGCCCCAGCTCCTGCTTGGCCTTCTCGATCGCCTCGAGCTCCAGGGACAGCACCTGCGTCTCCGCCCTGTGCATGAGCCCCCGCTCCGTGGACTCCATCCGCTGAGCGCGCAGCCGCTGCCACTCCGCCTCGAGCCTCGGCGGACCCTCCTTCTCCTTATTCGTGTTCACTGCGGTGCCAGCCAGCGCCGCCCAGCAGCCCGTGTTCTTCTCCGCGACCAGAGGCATGCTCGAGCCGTCCGAACGGGTCATCTCCATTGGCATGGCCCCCCCATTCCTTGGGCGGAGCTCGGCTTGCCCTGGCCGGCTCCCCCCACCAGCCAGGCGGGTGGACCATGTCCTGCACCCTCTTCTGGTCCGCCAGTTCCCGCGCCTCCTCGAGCTCCTCCTTCTGCGACCTCAGCCTGCAGGATTCGCGAAGCATCTGCTGCTTCCTGGCCCCCAGCTGGCTGTGCTCCATGAGGATGATTATCCTCCTTCTGCGACCTCCAGCTTGCGGCATTCCTCCTGCATGGCCTTCTCCTCCGGCCCAGGCCGGGGAACCACGGGCAGCGGCACCCCCGACGCCGCGGCGACTGGCGCTCGCCGATGCCGCAATCCCCCGCGTCGCCGACGCTCCCAGGCACCAGTAGGCTCCTCCTGCCGCGTCTCCTGGCCCGTCCGCTGTCCCAGCTCCTTCTCGTGCCGCTGCGCAGGCGGCTCCTCCGTGCTCCTGCCCGTCGCCTGCTTCTCCCTCGCCTGGACCTGCTCGGGCGCCCTCCGCCTGGGCCGCGCGCCCTGCAGCCAGCCCGCGCGCCCTGCCGCCCGCGGCTGCCAGCCAGGGCTTCCGAAGCCAGGCCACCACTGTGTCGCCAGGCATCTTCGGAAAGATCGGCGACGCCCCAGATGGCGAGGCAGCCCGGCCGGCGACGGCGTCTTCTTGGGCTGCGGAGCTGGCCCGGCCTCCGCCCCAGCACGCAGGGAGGCTCCCCTCGCCCGCGACCTTCACCCGCCGCGGCGGCGTCGTGCACCTCCTGAGCGACGGGCCTCCACAAGGCGGTGCCGCCAACGGCATTGGCGTAGTCCCGTCCGCCTTCGATGACCTCGATCGTCACCTCCGCGCCTGGTCACAGTACTTCCTCAACGCCGACCTCGAAAGCTGCGAATCTCTCGACGAGCCCCCGGCAGATCAGCTCAGATGAAGAACCACCAGTTTCACGACGCCCTGGCCCCGACCCGCTGCGCCCCTTCGAAGTGCGCGCGCCGAACCCCGAACTCCTTCGGGCCAAGGGGGCTGGCACGAGGGAGATGAGGATGAGGAGGAGGAGGAGGAGGAGGAGGAGAAGGGAAGAGGCAGGAAAGGAGGAGGGAAATAACGTCGAACGGCCGATGACAACGAGGATGAAAAGTCGGGTTTTCGAAATGAGTTGTTGTGGGAGATGTGGGGGTACGTGTTGTCAATGTATGTTGGTGTGTTAAATGTGTGTTTTTGCGTTGAGGTGACATGTGTTGTTGTGAGTTGCTGTTACAAAACAACACAGCTCCGAAATCACAAAAATTAAACTGGTACCAATTCCAACCGGGGCACCCATGTCGATTCCCAGAATGGAATGTGCACCCTTGAGACATTCATTTGATGTCTGGATCGACTTAAAATGCTGTACAAAAAGGAATCCGATTGTAGGCCCGAAAGGACTGCTTGTACTTGGTAGCAGGTGGTTTTTTGGCTGGCTGAGAAAGGTCCCAATCGGTTGTGATTTGGTCCCAGCCGGTCGGGATTGGTCCCACATGCGGTTCGAACCCCCCCCACCCCTTGGACCAGGGGGGGGGGGACGGCTCCAGACCCCCGCCCCTCCCCCTCTTGGAGGCCTGGAAATTGGCACCAACACCAGCACAGGGGTTTGCCTCCACAGGGGGAAGATGATCCTAGATCTCGGTGCTGGTGGCAATAGTTCGGCCACCCTGGCGGCCAGAACATCACCACCATCACCGAGATCGGGATCGTCTTCCCTCGGCGGAGGCACACCGCCGATCTTGGTGTTGGAGTCAACCTCTGGGCCTGCGACATTTTCCGTATTTTTTTCAATGCACGGTCGCCCGAAGGCTCGACCCATACCCCAGGGCCAGCTTCTCAACCCGAGTCGTTTTGTTGACGGTCCCGGGGCCCGACGAGGGCCCCTCGAGGCCGAAAATGGAGAAAAACCTCCGTCTTGATTTTGTTTCGTGCGTTGAATATTTGGATTTTTTCCTCCTCAACAATCCAGAGCGGGCGGGCGCCGTGGTGTTGGTGTCAACCTCTCTAGGACTGCGACCCTCCACGCGCCCACGGAGCGCGCTCTCTCTCGGACCCGAGGACCTCTGTGGCCCCTGGAAACGGCAGGGCCGTTTTTTCACCCCTTCCCCCCCAAAAAAATGCCCCTTGAAAAAGGAGACGGCAAAAAAACACGGCGACCGGCAACGGCAGAAAAACGGCTCCAGGATCGGAACCAGAGCCGGAACGGGTGAAACAACGGCGACGGAACCGGTGAAAAAAAACAACGTCGGGACCGGCCAAAAAACGGCAAAACGGAACCGGTAAAAAAACGGCCCTGTCTAAAGGGGCCCTGGGAAACACAAAGAAATACACACAAATAAAAGGATTCCCCATATTTTCCCATATTTTCTAGGGTTCTCTCTTCCCCCCCACTTCCCATATTTTCCCATATTTTCCTGGGGGTCGACGATTAATTGTGTCTGTGTGGTTTTTTTCCCTCCTGACTGTCGTTTCCAAGGCCCGAGGCCCCGAGGAGCCCCCCGCGCCGGGCAGCGAGCAGGGCGGGCGGCGCGGCGCCGGGCTCGGCCTCCCCCGGGGGGGCCCCCCGCTGGGCCTCGGAGCGGCCGGGAGAACGGCTCGGGGTGAAGCACCGGCTCCGAGGAAGAGAGAAGCCCCCCCCCAAAAAAAATGTACATATATATATATATATATATATGTATACAAGACTGCAGTGGCGCTTCGCGCCATGCACCTTGGTCCTTGAAGTTTGGCATGCAGGCGGAATAGCAGGAAGATCAAGCCGACACCTTAGCGATAACTCCTGGTTGCCTTTTCCAACATCGCCGCTATAATAATGTTATTCGTTATCCTTCCTCCATGCTTCTTTTTCCTTCTTTTCGCCATACCCTACGCATTCTCCCCATCCTCCTCAGCTCTTTTTTGCGGAGGTTCCTCCTTGGAGAGCCTCTAGGGGCCTCACAAAAGTTTTTTCAGGTTTTCTTAAAGCCTTCTGGAGGCCTCCTGGGCGTATTCGGGCCTCTGGGGGCTTCCTCGGGCCACCTTGCCTCCACCCGCGGTCTCCCTGAACGACCGAATCACGATTTGGAATTCTTCGGAGGGTGTTTTTGGGCCATCTTGGGCCGCCATGGGGCTCTCTGAGGGCCATCTTGGACCCGTGTTGTGCTGTTTTGGGGCTCTCTTGGACTGCCTGGAAGCCCTTTCGGATGGTTGTGGGGCGATTTTGAAGCCTCCCAGGCGGCTTCGGACGCCCAGAAGACCGCCGTCTTGGAGCGTCGGGAAGCCGAAAAGAGGAGAACCCCAAATTCACCAAAAACTAACAGAAAATCCATGATTTTTGCCTCGGGGGGCCTTCTTGGGAGTGCTCTTGGAGGCCTCTTTGGGGCCGTCCTGGAGGCCTCTTGGGCCATCTTGAGGTCACGTCGGTCACTCTTGGAGCGCTCTTGTGCTGTCTTGGGGGTCTCTGGGACGTCTCCGATGACCCCCCTGATCGCCCTAAGTGTGCTGGGAAGGCTTGGCAAAACGCCCTACGAGGCCCGGTGGCCGCTTCGAAGCCCGTCCGGAGGGTCCCAAAGCCCCAAATCCCAGTAAACTCGTTTTGGGGGGGGGGGGGGGACGGGTTTTCCCCCCGCCCGGGCTTCTAAAAATATAGGAAGAGGAATAATTCTATGTTGTTTTATATTTAAAAAAGAAGAAGGAAGAGAAAAAAAATCAAATAACAATAATAATAAATAAAAAAAATTTAAAAAAAAAAAAAAAAAAAAAAAAAAAAAAAAAAAAATTGATAATAATATTAAAAGAGAGAAAAAAAAGAAAAAAAAAAAAAAAAAAAAAAAAAAAAAAAAAAAAACTGGCGCCGGGGACCTGGGGACGAGGGGCCTCGAGGAGTGCGACGCCGGCCTGGGATCGCTCCCTGCCCCTGGGGCTCCATCCCTCGGGGCCCCATCTTCAGGTCGGGCGTGTCCTCCTACAGGCGGATTCTCAAAGAAAAATCCCCCCAGAAAAAAAACGCCGAAACATATGAAACAAATTTGTATGCATATATATATATGTATATATGTAAATATAAAACCGGAGACGAAGAACAAAAAGGAAAAAAACAAAAACAAAAAAAACAAAAAACAAAAAGAAGGAAGACAAAAAAAAAAAAAAAAAAACATCTGGCTATTCTTGCTATTCGTGAGCACTCCTCCTGTAGAGGGACATGCACGACCTAAGCCTACCCTTGGGGCCCCATCCCTCGGGGCCCCACCCTCGAACCGCCAACCCTGGGCCCCCAGGAATCCTTCGGGGATCTGCTGGCGCCTGGCCCGGGTCAGTGCAGACCCGGGTCCGTCAGGCCTCGCAGGCTCCTGCAGCAGCCTGCAGGATCCTGCGCCTCAGCCTGGGTCCACAGGCACGCCTGGCTCTTCGGCGGGGGACAAACCTCCCTCTAGTGAACCTCCCCTTCGTGAAAACGGCCTGGGACCGAAACCGACGGACCTGGACCCGCACAACATGACGGCCCCGACGCCCTCCCGCGAACCGCACACGGCCAATTCGCTCCTTTGACGTGCCGGGGTGGGAGGTCTGTCAAAACCTCCGAGCTGTGCTGGATCCTGCAGGATCCGGCGCCCCGGCGGCCCCCCCCCGTCTGCATTGAAGGGGCCCTGGGACACACAAATAAACAGACACAAATAAGAGGAATCCCCATATTTTCCCATACTTCCTGGGCTTTTGTCTTCTCCCCCACTTCCCATATTTTCCCTTTATTTTCTGGGGATTCGACGACTAATGGTGTCTGTGTGTTTTTTTCCCTCCTGATACATGGACCCCCGCCCCCGAGGCCCCCGAAGCCCCGAACCCCCGACTCCTCCGGGGGCGGGCCGCGCCGAGCCCATGGGGGGCACGCCGCGCCTCTGGCGCGCGCGGCTCCGGGGCGCTCGGCTGCGCCCGGCGCGCCGGGCCGGGCGCGTCTTCCGTCCCTGACAGAGACAGACAGACAGACAGAGACATCAAAAAAAAACTAAAAAAGGGCGACAGAGAGAGAGGGGGTGGGAAGACGGGGAGGAGGAGCAGGAGGAGTGAGGAGGGAGGAGGGAGGAGGGAGGACAAGAATAAGCAACAGGACAAGGACGAAAAGCGCGAGGAGGATTCCTCCTCCCCCCTCCTCCCCCCTTTCTTCTGCTGGTGCAGGAAGGGCGGGGCGGGGCGGGGCGGGCGTGCATGTTCCACTCCCGTGACCCGCGGCAGCGGGATGAAGAGGACCCCGCTGAAGGTGACGTGGCCGCGTTCTGCAACCTCAGGGCACCCAAAACCGCAGGGAGATCGGGACACGAGGAGGTGGCAAAGGCGCCAGTCGTGATGCCCTCACCCGAGGAAGAGAATCTCAGACGCGTCTCGTCAGGGGTCCGCGCTGAGTTCTTGAGTCGGCCCTGGGCCACACCCCCTGGCGGCGCCTCCGGAGACGCCCCTGGCGCGCTCGGCGCGCGCAGGGGAAGGTGTGGAGGTGGGGGGTCAGGCGCTGCGCGGACACCCGAGACTTGCGCTGCTGCTCATCCGGCTCGCGGCGCCCACATGTCACGGCCGCCCCGCCAGAGCCGACAGCCTGGCTTGACCTGGAGCCCAGTCTCGCCAGGATCTCGGCGCGAATCCAGCCGCTGCGAGGGGCGGCTCTGAGAGCCTCCGAGGACTTCTGGAAAAGTCCTCCGGAGAAAAACACAGGGGGAGCAGCGGAACACCTCCGCGGGCCTGCGATCGTGTGGGAGGAAGCCCGAAAACCTCGGAGGGCATCCCAACACGTCGGAAGACTGCGGGAACCCTGCCCGAGAGCTCCAGAAACCTCTCACCCCTTCAGAAGAAGAGAAACGCCTGAAGCGACCGAAACCTCTGGAAAAACTTTCCAGATCTCATACAACCATCCTCGAGATCTCGCGCAAGTTTTGAATGTTGGTCGACGCGCGAAACGCGGCCCACGAGTCATGTGTGTGCTTGCAGTCACCATGTTCGGCGCGAGCATTGAAAGTTTAGGGCCATGGTGCGCCGCCAGGTCGCGGGAAAAACTTGCGTTTGATTTCGAGAAGGGATGTAAGACCTCGGGGGGAAAACAAAATAAAACAAAAAACAAAAAAAAAAAAAAAAAAAAAAACCTCGGGGAAATCTCGGAGAATCCCCGAAGACGTCTGAGACCATCCCCGCCCAGCCGAGGCCTCAGGGAAGGAAGGCAGGAGGTAAGGGAGGAAGTGGAGGAGGAGGAGGAGGAGGTAGAGGAGGATGAGGAGAAGAGAAATAAGAAGAAGAAGAAGAAAAACAAAGAAGAAGAAGAAGAAGGCGCCACTGCCGACTCGGACAAAGTCTAGCCGATGTGGAGGACGAGGGGGAGGTGGAGCAGGAAAAGGGGACGCCATAACCGTTTCGCGCAAAGCCTGACCAACGAAAAAAAAGCAGGACGAGGACGAGAACTTGGGGATACTGCAGCCGTTTCACGCAAACCATGGCCAACGTCAAGAGGAGGAGTAAGAGTGAGAAGGCGCAGGAGGAGGAGGAGGAGGAGGAGGAGGAGGAGGACGACGACGACGACGGGGACGAAAACAAAGAGGCGACGCTACGGCCGTTTCGGCGAAAGCCTGGCCAACGCAGACCCCGTTGGCCCTCACAGGGGGGCGCAGACTGCTGCTTTGTGTTACCTGTATTGTTTTTGTCCCAGACATCGGGTTCTGGGCACTCGTTTTGAATAGAGCACTGCGGTCTACACCTCTTTCCTCTTCCCGCCTCGTCTCCGCTTCTCTCCTGTCTCTCTCTCATTTCGCTCCCCCCTGCGTGCCAGCTTGCCTCCACCTTGGCCACCCCGGGGGGGCTGCGGTCTGCGAAGCTGTCGGCATTTTCGAAGGCTGCTGGGGGGTCCAGCGGAGCGACGTCCCACGCAAGCTCACAGCTGACCTCGCCATCCGTGAGGGGGGCCCGATGTGGGAAATCGTCGGCGCTTCCGAAGCTTGCTGGGGGGCCCAGCGGACTGACATCCCACGCAAACGACTCAAATTTGATTTCGCCATCCCTGCGGGGCTGCGATCTGCGAGATCGTCACCACTTTCGAAGGCTGCCGGGGAGTCGGGCGGACTGGCGCCCCACCCGGAGCCAGAGCAGACCTCGCCATCCCTGTGGGGCTGCGATCTGCGAAACTGTCGGCGCTTTCATCAAAAGTTTGAAGGGGCCCTGGGACACACAAATAAATACACACAAACACAAATATCCCCCATATGTTCCCATATTTTCTGGGTTTTTGTCTTCCCCCCCACTGCCCATATTTTACCATATTTTCTGGGGAATCGAGGATTAATTGTGTCTGTGTGTTTTTTCCCCTCTTGAAAGTTGCTGGGAGGTCGAGCGGAGCGACGTCCCACGCAAGCTCTGATTAGACCTTACCAGGGGGTTCGATCTGCGAAACAGTCGGCACTTTCGAAGGCCGCTGGCGAATCCAGCGGAACGATATCCCACGCAGACTCAGACTAGACCTCGCCATCCACGTGGGGCTGCGATATGCGAACGCGTCGCCACTTTCGAGGGCTGCTGAGGGGTCCAGCGGGGCACTGTCGCGAGCCGCCCGCAGACCTGGCGGCGCGCCTTCGACTGTTTAACTCCCGCACAGAAAATTGCAGGAGGGAAGCAAGGAAGCTGGCGTGCGAGCTAGGCCTCGCTCGGTTCTTGCATAATCGACACGCTGGTTCAATCATGTTGTCGAGCGCCGCGGCGACATGGCGCCAGCAGCGCTGCATCTTTAGCGAACCACGAACAAGAACAACACTCTTCGGTTTCCTCACGTCATGTTCGTCGTCGTCTTCTGCCCCCTTGCCACCTTCCCTCTGCTGCTGCCGCGCTGATGGGTCGGTCCCCCACGCGTTGTTTGCCCTTCGCTCCCGCCCCCCATGTCCTCCTCACCCCTGGGCCTTCGCTCATCGTCCTTCTCTTGATGCCCCGTGAACCGTGCCGCGCGAGCGCATCCCGTGTAGCTTGCACAACATATAGCGGCGCCTGCCCTGTCACTGTCCTGACAAGTTTGGGCCAACTCCTTTTGTCACTTGATGCACATGGGTTGGGTACGTTACAAGGTAATTTGTGCGCGCGCGTCGCTCGCCTCTCCAGTCCTGCCCCCCTGTCTACTGTTTTCCACGGGGGGGGGGGGGGCGCAGCGTCAAGAAGACCTACTGGGGGGTTCTAGAATTCCATGGTCAGGATTCCCATAGAGGACGCCTGGAAGACGGCCCCAGCGGCTTCCCAAGAGGGTCCCCCGACGGCCTGCGAGGGCCCCAGGAGGAGTCCCCGACGACGGCCAAGAAGGCCCGAAGACGACTCACGAGGGCCCAAGGCTGCCCAAGAGGGCCCACATGA